AAAAGCGTCACGCATAGCGTCATCACGGTATTCTTCGGCAGATACAGAATGAAAGTCACAGTCTTTCGATCTTCTGGACGAACTGATCCACGTTCTGGCCACGTTCTTGTTTGCAGGTTGCAAGGAGGTGTCGAGCAAAAATTACATTCCTAGGGCGTACATGCAAGGATTGAAGTGTGGATATGGCGTCGTCGAAGGTATTACAATCAGATACGTGTTCATATACAGTTGGTGATAAGAAGTTAATCAATATGTCTAGTTTGTCTGAATCTTCGGTCTGGACGCGTTTCAAGAAGGCTTTGAACGTTCGAAGCCAATAGGTCCACTGTTTTGGAGCGTCAGGAGCGTTCGANGCGTTCGAATCTGTGTCGAATTTTTAGGGCGGAGGTAGCGGTCCATCAGTTAACAGGCGAGTAAATTGTTACAGAGGACAACAAGCGGATACGATCGTGGATAGAGAGAGAGAACACGAGAGCAGGAACGACACGCTTTACTCGTCTATTAATAGCAGTACATGGGCTGAAAAACAAAAGGAACGACGTGGTTAGCAGCGTACAGAAACAGAACGAATAACAAACACGACAAGTGGCATGAATGTATCCTCTCCTGTTTGCAATCCCGAAAATAAACAAAAACGAAAAAATTCCAAATGGCGTACAGTAAACAAAGAAAGAAAAATGTTACTCACCGAAGTTGACTGTTTTATTTTCCCCACTTCTTTACCTATATTTTTTCGTTCACCCATGGTTATTTTGGCACCGTATCTGTAAAGATTGGTGTTATATATGTATGTATTTCATAATAAGTAGTATGTGAATAACTGGGCAAAATTTCCCTGGAAGCGCACGACCGGTTTAACGGTTCTTTTCGCTCGTCAGGCATGCGTATCCGGTAATCTTTTGTCAGTTCATTCATATACTTGTACCCAGGAAGTGTATTTTCGTTACGATAACCTTGTTTACAACACCGGGTAACCATTGAATAGACAGCTCTTTCAGAGCTAGTCCAATGAAGAATCAATGCTATGATTCGATGTTTTGTAAGTGGGTTAGATGCTACTAACCGCAACATATATATATATATATATATACCACATTGCGTTCTGGGTTAACCAGTTGGAGTGACACACGAGACAAGGTACATACGTTGTTGACTGAGGTAACCGGAATCCCACATGGTTGAAAGGACACCGTTGGATTCGTGGATAACCTGTGGAGTCGGCGGTGGCATATGTGGAACCTGAATTCGTGCAGAATACTTTGGACCATGCATGCAATGGCCAGGGCACGTATGTAGCTCGTTGAATATAAAAATGAAACGAGAGAAACTCGTGGTGTGGCAACCACAGATGGGCAAATGCGTACGCTTTCAGTACCAAACAGCAATGTGAACGCTAAACACATATCGAGTAGAACTCGTGATATTAGTCAACGCAATGGTATTGCTGTTCAATAATGTTTTAGGATCGGGTTTTATCTACGTTCGAATACGTGCCAGCAAAACGATCCTTCGACCAGAACGTGAGACGGAAGTCTCGATCGATGGTCGAGATAAAACTGCATCGGGTCGACTTGGACATGAAACAGAGGTTACGTCCGAAGTCGTAACCGTTGCGCGAGGCTGCCGATTTGAATATGAAGCGAGTGTCTCATCCAAAACCATGTTAGGGAGTGGCGGTTGCCGACTCGAATGTGAGGATGAAACCTCATTCGGAGTCGTGGCAAGCTGTGGAGGCTGCCAGCTAAGACGTGAAGCAGATGCTTCGTCTAAAGCTAGTGCAGCGGGAAAATAATTCGAGCCTGAATGTGAGACTGGTGTCTCGTTCAGTGTCTAGAAGGGATTAGCAGAAAGTTTAGTGTTAGCGTGCATAACGTTTTCGTCAACGTATGCTCATTTTAGACGATCTATGCCAATCATATCGACGCGGCCATGTCGATCAACCTTGAAGGTCTTATCGTGACGTGAAATGACACGAAAGGGTCCTTCGCAAGGTTGTTGTATAGGTTTACGTACCGAATCAACTCAAACGAATACGGGCTAGCGGGATGGTATTTCAGGAGGCAAAACACCTGCCGCTGTTATATTCGTGTCTGCATGAAAGNCATGAAAGTGGACAAACGTTGAACGTATGTCATTATGCCTATGTTGGCACTACTCCGTGACGTAAAGAATTCCCCATGCAGTCGTAATGTTGTGCCGAAGACAAGTTCAGCGGCGGAACATTGGATGTCTGCCTTTACACAAGTTCTGATGCTAAGCAGAACTAGATTCTCATGCCAATTCAACTTCTCGCCCTTAGGGAAGCCTTAAGTTGGCGGTTAAAACGCTCGACTAAACCATTGGATGCTAGGTGGTAGGCTGTGGTTCGAATGTGTTCCGTACCCAGCATACGCGTTAATGAGGAGAAAAGATCGGACTCAAATAGTTGTCCTCTGTCAGTGGTGACCGTATAGGGACAACCATATCCCATCGTTACCCATCGTTCTACAAATTGTCAAGCCACTGTTTCGGCCGTGACGGTGAAGATGGGAATGGCCTCGGGCCATATTGTAAACCGATCAATGCACCTAAGTATATGCGTATATC